ATGGGTTCTCCAAGGGTTCCTGTGGGTTTTTGGTGGTTCCAATGAACTTCTTGGTGTTTCCATGGAATTTTTTGGTGTTCCCATGGAATTTTTTGGGGTTCTGATGGAATTTGGGGGTTTTTTGGCCCGCAGAGAAGCAGCTGGAGGTGCTGCAGGGCATCGCGGACCTGACGGTGCAGGCGGCCGAGCAGGCCGTGTTCAAGTGCGAGGTGTCGGACGAGAAGGTCACCGGCCGCTGGTTCAAGAACGGCGTCGAGGTCCGGCCCAGCAAACGCATCCACATCTCGCACACCGGCCGGTGAGGCTCCGAAAATCCCAAAATATCCCAAAAATATCCCAAAAAAAAAATCCCAAAAATATCCCCAAATGTCCCAAAATATCAAAAAAAATCCCCAAAAAAATATCCCCAAAATATCCCAAAAATATCCCAAAAATATCCCAAAATGTCCCAAAATATAAAAAAAAATTCCCAAAAAAATATCCCCAAAATATCCCCAAAATATCCCCAAAATATCCCAAAAATATCCCAAAAAAAATCCCAAAAAAATCCCAAAATGTCCCAAAATATCAAAAAAAATCCCCCCAAAAATATCCCCAAAATATCCCCAAAAAAATCCCAAAAATATCCCAAAATGTCCCAAAAATATCCCCCAAAAATATCCCAAAAAAATCCCAAAAATATCCCAAAATGTCCCAAAATATAAAAAAAAATCCCCAAAAAAATATCCCCAAAAAAATATCCCCAAAATATCCCAAAAATATCCCCAAAAAATCCCAAAAATATCCCCAAAATATCCCAAAATATCCCAAAAATATCCCCCAAAAAAATCCCAAAAATATCCCAAAAATATCCCAAAATGTCCCAAAATATAAAAAAAAATCCCCCAAAAAATATCCCAAAAATATCCCAAAAAAAATCCCAAAAATATCCCAAAATGTCCCAAAATATAAAAAAAAATCCCCCAAAAAAATATCCCCAAAATATCCCAAAAATATCCCAAAAATATCCCAAAATATCCCAAAAATATCCCAAAAAAAAATCCCAAAAATATCCCAAAATGTCCCAAAATATCAAAAAAAATCCCCC